CGGGGCTCCCCCGCTCGGCTCTGCAGAGCACGTGTGTGTTGGGGGGGGACACATAGGGAAACGGCCCCCGAGCTTGGAGCTCGGGCTGCTGCCTGGTGGGATGAGGGAGAGACAAGGAGACAGCGTGTGCACCCCTGTGATTTGGAAAGAGGGCCCTGCAGAGGGCTGTGGGGATACGCAGGGGACCCCAGGCCCTCGTAAGAGAAAGCGGGTCCGTGCAGGAACCCGTGGGTCAAAAGGGAGCTTGGAGCTCACACCAGGAACGCGGGCCCTTGTGGGGGTAGTGGGGCGGGAGGACCAGGGAGCCCCCACCTCGGCCCAAGGCAAGACCACCAAGAGGTGTCAGCAGAGCGGGACTGCTGTGTCCAGGGCAGCCTGGACGGCGCTCCCTGGCCTGGGCGAGCAGACCCTCCTGGGGGAACCCCGTGGAGCATTTCTCCCGGGCGGGGGGCGGACTCTCGGACCTTCCAACATCCCATCGAGCGCTGGGTTCCAAGCTCCAGGCTGGAGCCAGGGCAGGAAAAAGGGGGTGATGTGGATCTAAGACTACAGATGTGCCCCCACACACCCAGCCTCTACCCACCCCAACACCTCTGGACCGAGGCAACTCCTGACTCGGGTCTTGGTCTCCCCTGCAGAAGCCGCCCGCCACCATGTCAGACGAAGAAGTGTGAGTAGCAGTCCGAACAGCACCCGAGACCCCCGGGCCTCGGCTGTGTTTGTGAGAACCCCCCCGAGCCGAGTAAAAGCCCCTCACGCTCTCCCCCTCTCTCCCCCACAGCGAACAGGTGGAGGGTAAGTGTCGAAGCCACGACCTCTGTCTGCGTGGCCCCCGGGGGAGCACTAGTCCCACAGAGGACACACGTCTCTCCTTGGGGACCCCGGGCTGGCAGCCCTAGATTTGCCCCGTTCAGTGGGCCCCAGATCAACACCCCTCTGAAAAGGGGCTCCTCACGCCTGCCCCTGCACCCAAGGTCTCCTCCTTCTCGAAGGTGACATCCCTGGGATGTGGTCCCACCTGAGCCCAGCCCTGTGCCCTGCCCTGCCCTGCACGCCACCCAGCCCGCTCCGCAAGGTTGCGGGGGGCAGGCTGGTCCCAGGAGCTCCGCAGGCCCCAACCGCTCTCTGCCCTGCTCCCCAGTAGGACAGAGGCGCCGGGGGTCCCAGACCCTCCCCGAAAGCCGCTGTCGTCCCCAGAGGTTCCTCTTCCTCTGGCACCGGTCCTGCTCCCTTCCCGGCCAGCCCTGGGGTGGGGGTCACCCCGCTAACAGGCTCCTGTCCTTTCTTATCCCCCCTTCCAGAGCAATACGAGGAGGAAGGTGAGTGCACAGCCCCCGGAGGCCCCCGCCTGGGCCTCCCTGTGAACCCGGGTCCGCTCCATCCGCTAGGCCCGGGAACCCCGGGGCCCCTTGGAGCTCGACAATTAACCATCCACCTTCCTCACCATTAATTCCCATTTGTGGTCACGGCTAACTTCCCATCTCTTTAACTGATTAATAGACGGACACTCATTAATCATTCATTAATCTTTCACCCTTGAGGAGCCCGTGCTGTGTGCAGTTAGGGGGGCCGGCCGGTAACACTCCCCCTCATTAACATCGAGGGCCTGGCTCGCAGGCCCTGCCTGCGTCTCTCCCCCCGTCTCTCTGTCTCTCTCAGCAACCCCTTCCCCCAGCCCCCTGCCCTGTATAACCTTCGGGTGGAATCCAAAGCCCCCTCCCTCGTGCCACCGTGGGAACCTCCGGGTCGTGCCCAAGCAGGCGCACCTGGGAACGGTGCGGAGAGGTGGTTCTCAGGCTCGGATGGGAGGCCCTCGAAGGCCCTGGCACCCGCTCAACCTTGGGAACGCTTTCACGCACCCTCACGGGCAGGGCTCTGCTGGGAGGCCTCTGGGTGCTATGTTTTGAAAATATTTTGAAAACACTTGGCTCCCCTGACAACGTGAGCAAAGCACTCTTTTTTTTTTTTGTTTTTGCTGAAAAGGTGGAAAGACTTTCTGAGCAGGAAACGTGGTCCCAGGGGCCACCTCTTTCCTGGACTGCAATGCGGCCCGTGGGCAGGGTCCCCTGCGTGCCCAAGACACCCCCGGGTGGCCGTTACCTTCAGTCACATGCCCCAGCCAGGCCGACTTTCTCCCCGGGGCCGGTGTTCTCTCGTAGCTCGAGGATTTTGTCCCCTTTTTTCAATTCTGGGACCCGCAGAGCAGGACTAGCCAGGCCCTCGGTGGACACGCACCTCAGTGCCGGGAAAGGCGGCAGGCCCCCAGGCAGAGAGGAACTCGGGGCCCCCTGGAGCCCGGAGGAGGGGGCCCCGCAGAGGCAGGGTTGAGGCTCGGGGCTCCGAGCCCTGGTTCGTGCCAGCCTTTCCCTGCCACCCGCTCGCCCCACTAATGACTGTCTATGCTTCTCTCTCCTTCTCGGTCCCTGCTGCCCTGGGCTCAGAGGAGGCTCAGGAGGAGGCCCAGGAGGAAGGTGAGTAAGCTGGGTCCGGTGCCTTCCTCCAGCCCATGTGCCCACTGACCTTGGCGCTCTCAGCGACCCCACCCCTAAGGACGTGCAGTGTGCTCCCGGCCTAACCCTCTCCTCTCTCCTCCTGCCCCGTGTCCGGTGCCTCTCCGCCCGCAGAAGTCCATGAGGAAGGTATGAACACACAGGACTTCTGGTCCCCATGTGGGGCCCGTGGCCTGGCTGGAGCCCACGCAGGGGTGGGGGCGAGGGTCCAGACATAGCGAGGCACCAGCCAGCCAAGGGGCCCCCACATGTGGCCCCCAACATAACCCACTAACCACAGCCAACGCTTGACCAGACCGGGGAGACCCTGAGGGCTGGGAAGTCCCCTGGGTTTGTCACTGGAGGGCTGCTGGACCAGATGTGAGATGAAGGCTGGCTCTGAAAAGAGCCCCCTGCCCCAGGGTGGGCAACTGAGGGTTCACATGACCTCTGACCCCCCACCTGGGTCAGGGCCCAGGCCAGATCTCGGGTGAGCAGAGAGCCACGGAGGAACAGCCCCTGCAGCCTGGCCTTGGAGTGAGGGCTGTGCCCCCAGCCAGTGCCACTGGCCCCAAGCAGGGACCCTTGTCCCTCCACCCCTCCAACCCGCCCCAGTGGGCCCATCCATCCTGGTGCCTGGTGCCCCCCGCAGCTCAGCCCTGAGCATAGCCTCTGTGCCCGGCATAGGGACCCTCCCAGGGGCCTGAGGACAGGCAGGAGCCCCAATGTCCCCATGACCAGAGCAGTAATGTCATAACAGCAGCCAGAGCCAGGGGTCAAAAACGCCACCCTGCAGTCTCAGTTTCCCCGTGCGCGAGGCAGGGCTAGGCCTGGGGTGTGACAGCTCCCAGGGCCAACGCTGACCGTATCCTGCTCGCCTCCCGCATGCTCCCCCCTCGGCCTCGGCCACGGCCACTGACCCTCCCGCGCGGTGACCGGCTGTGTCCATTAACCTCGGATCCTTTCTCCTTTGACCTCTGACCCGCGTCTTGCCTCTCGGTCCTCGCCCTCCGCCCTCCTTAGCCCCCGAAGCTCCCGAAGCTCCTGAGCCAGGTACGTGCCGGGACCTCAGTCCCATGTGGGCGCCTGAGCGCACGTGGCCGCCTGTGGGTGGAGCAGGAGCCCGGCCCTGAGGCCGCGTAACCTACTCACAACGTGGTCCTGGCCCCTGCCTCTGCCTTCCCTGCCCTGCCCTGCCCCTGCCCCGGCCCTGCCCCGGCCCGGCCTCTGCCCCGAGTCACAGCGGCTCTTTCCCCTCTCTCCCCACATGCGGCGCCCATGCAGAGGAGGTCCAGGAAGGTATGTCGCTCCCCTCCGAGCCCGGCCCGCTCCCCCTCCATCCTGTCTCTCCCTCCCCGCCTGCCCGCCTGCCTGCCTGTGTGACTCTCCCCCGTTGCGCTGGGCTGGGACAGAGTGGGGACAGGTCGGGCCTCGAGTTCTGGCTCAGGCAGCGCTGGCTGGCGGGGTGCAGGCTTCCTCCTGGCCCCCTGGCAGGGAACACGCAGGGGTGGGGTGAGGCCCTTCCCAGGCCACCAGCAGGGAGTTGGGGGTGGCCAGTCTCGAGGCCAAGCCTAGGGTAAGGTCTTGGGAGGATGGTGCTGGGGCTCCCTTAGGCCCCCTGGATCTGCCAGGGTGGGGTGGGGAGGAGGGGGCAGAGGCACGGCAGGTGGCCTATGCCCTGTCCCAGATGGCAAACCGGAGCGGGGAGGGCAGGAGGGCGGGTGGGGGAACAGGGAGGCGAAGCATGAAGTCGGGCTGAGGCCCGCGTGGGGATGGCGGCCCCAGGCCAACCAGGGCACTTGTGGGAAACTAAGCGAGCGTCAGGTCCCAGCGACCCGCCCGTCCCCTGGGTCAGAGCCAGAAGCGCCCAGGCCGGAGGAGCCCCCGGCGGGGAGGGAGCTGTAGGTTCCAGTCAGGGGCCCAACGTGGACTTTTTTTTGCCCGCCCCCCCCCCATTCACATGATTGCTCGGTCAGGGTTCTGGGGGCCTCCCAGCTGGGCCTGAACCCCAAGCATGATGTCTTCCCCTCCCTGGACTCAGAGAAGCTGCCTCTGAGACAAAGGGGCGTTGGGTGGTGGCCGAGCAGGCAAAAGGCGTCCCGGGAACAGGATGCAGGAGCTGTCAGGTCACCAGGCCACCCGAACCAGGCCGAGGCAGTTAGACGGGAGATGGGGTGCCAGGATGCTGCCCGGGGAGCTTGGCCGCACGAGCGCTCTCCCTCCAGCTCTTGGCTGGCCCCGCCCTCCCAGACCCCAGACCCTGGCCCAGCCAGGCCCCCACAGAAAGCCAGGCGCCCCGAAGCTCACTTCCGCTCCTCCCCAAGCCCCCCTTCTGCCCCTTGGCCAGCTTTTTGCTCCCCGAGTGCCCCTGCCACTGGCTCAGTTCCACAGCTCGCAGCCCGGCCCAGGGTGCTGGTTGAGGGTGCACCAGGCCCACCTGCAGAGGCCTTTGGCTGGTTCCTAAGTGACCCGAGTGATCCAGGAGCTGGGGGCACGCGAAGGGGGTATCTGCCCAGAGCACACACAGGACAGGGGCTGGAGAGGCTGGATCCCCCACCCCACTCCCAGAGGGGCCTGCTGGCTGGGGCCAAGGGCAGAGGAAGGAGCTTGGTGGCCAGAGGTGGTTTCGCAGCCGGGCTTCTCTGCCCTGCAGGCCCCAATAAAGGGCCCCCGGTAGGAACAGAGGGCCAGGCACCAGGTGCGGCCGGGCTGGCTTCAGGCCCCCTGCTGAGGCCCGCCCAGCCAGGACCTCCGGGGCCCTGGGTGGCGATGGTCAAAGGAAGTAGCCCCACGTGAGGGTACCCAGGGCAGCCCCGGCAGCTCGGACCCGCAGGCCCCGGGGTGGCGAGGCAGAGGTGGGAGGAAAGGGAGGCTCCCCGAGGTCAGGGGCAGGCTCCCTGGGGACACAGCGGCCCCCACCCTTAGGGGTGAGCAGGCCCAGGCTCAAGGCCCTGGGATGCACAGTGGACATTCCAGCCTCAGGGGGTACGGCCCTGGCCGGAACCAACAGGCCCCAGGCGCCGACCAGCTCTTTCAACCTGATTGCTAGACCCACTGGGTTTCAACCCAGCAAAACCCAGCAGTGAGGCCCCCAGACCCG